GTCTCTCCAATTTGGAGCAATTTACTGCGAGCCGGGGATGAATTACTCAGCACAGAGTTAACCAGCACCTGCTCGGAGTTAATTGGCATGTGTGCTAATTGCCGTGATAGTCACACTTGTGCGAGCTGAGAGCGGGGAGGGGGGAGCTCCTCCAGCCCAGAGCTCCTCGTGCTCAGTTCCCTGAGCCTGCCTGAGGTTCCTGCCACTGCTACAGGGTCAGGGTGGCTTTTTCCAGCGGGTTTGCAGCTCCTTTTCCATGCCCTTGGGCCCTCCTTGGCAGGGTGTGGGAGCTGGGATGGTTTCCTTGGAAAAGGAGGCTCAGGAGAAAGGAAGAAGCTGCTGTCAGAGAAGGAGATGATGATTTAATGAGTGGGGTTATTGTATGTAAAATCATTTCAGACCCCAAAAGTGAGAGGTTATTTAGGAGCTCAGCTCCTTGTAGCCGTCCTGTGCTGTGGTGTCAGCACCCAGGGCATCCCTCTGGCTGTCCTGAGCAGCCCAGACCCTGCCAGGGGGCACAGGGACCCTGGCACAGAGCCCAAAATGCCCCTGTGGGTTTCATTATGACCCATGGAGCAAATTACCAACTTTAGATGAAGATCTGCAAGCCACAACAGTTTAAGTGGAATAATAGTGAAGTTATCACGGGGTGGAAAAGTAGATTTTGGGGTTTTCAGAATGGGGGTTCAGGGGGCAAGATGGAGGGAACTGGGCATGTCCAGCCTTTCTCCTTCTTCTTCTTGGCCTCCATCTTCTGCTGTGATGGTGACACTTTTAGATTGGTTTAGAGTGGAAGCTCACTGTCTAACATGGTGATAGGCATTGGGAAGTTATTGTAAATATTGTACAGGTAGTTTTTAGTATAAAGATATAACACCACCCAGGGGCAGGCAGAGTGCCTGGAACTGTCCTGCTGGATGGACCTCAGCAGGCCAGGAGAAAATTTTTTCTAGATAAGGTAAAATAAACAACCTTGAGACTGAGAAATGAAGAGCCCTGACTGCTTCTTCAAGCACCAGGCTGGAAAAAGAAACTTTGGAACTTTTCTCGGGGTCACTCTGAGCAGCAGAGACCCCGACACTCTGGGTGCTGGTCTGTGCAGGGTTCAGGTGCTTAAATCCCACCTGGTCACAGAGCAGGGTCCTGGCTGATCTTGGTGCCTCAGGCTGGGCAATGAGGGAGCCAGAGCAATGTGGTGGTGAAGAAAAGGGAGCCCCAGGGGCAGAGGGATCCTCCTGGCTTGGGGCTGAGCCCCAGCAGCAGTGCCAGCAGAGATGAGGGTGCTCTCCAGGTTTCTTGCTCTTCCAGCTGCTGTTCAGAAACTCAAACCAGTTGGTTGGACTTTCTGAAAGAGCCACCTGGGCAGGAAACGTGAAAATACCTGGGTTTAAAAATAAGGTGGGGGAAAAAACCCAACCTAAAAACAAATAAACTCACCCCAAAACCCCAATTCCATGAAGAGAAAAGGGAGGGGTTTGAAATCCCCTTTGTCAGGTGCATTTGGAGGGCAGCAAACATTCTGTGCTCTTCTCCATCCTCCTCCTCACCCCAGCCAAGGGCTGCCCTCCCCATGGGGTGTTTTCCTTCTCATGCAGGGCACAGGGGTCAAGAGTTCCTTTTCTCCCCATGATGATGAGCAAAAACCTGTTAAGTCACCTTTGAGCAAAGCCTGAGGCTGCTGGGAGCATGGTCCCCATCCAGCCAAGGTGCTGAGGATGCAGAGTCAGGGCTCGGAGCAGCAGGAGGAACCTGGTTTGGTGGCTGAAAAAAGGGGATTTGGTTTGAAACACTTGGGGTGTGTTTGTGGCCTGGGGAGAGCAGTGTGGTTGGAATCCCATGGAAGGAACAGCAGCTGGTGTGGGGCTGAGGGCAGGGATGAGCAGCCCTGGGGTTTTCTCCTCATCCCTACAAACATCCCATCCCTTTGAGCACTGTGCAGCTCTTGGCTGCCATAGCATCCTGTGAACAAGTCCCACAACGAAATTGTGTTAAAATATGTTTCCTTTCACTCAGTTGAAATTTACTGCCCGTTGTTCTGCAGTGTTTATTGTTGCTTCTGGAGAGTTCCTCTCTGGTTTGGACAGTAAATCTGCTGTCTTTCAGAGCATTTCTCTGTCCAAGAGCTGCAGCACACGGAAAGAATTAGCATCTTGCCCTGTGTCTGGTTGTGGAGCTGTTGCTACTTTGTGGTTTTGAAGATGCTGAAGGTGAATATTTTTCAGCCAGTTTAGAGAAGTGGCGACTCTGAAGGGAAAAGCAGCAAAGCAAACCCAACCAAAAGTTCCTCCTCTTCCAAAATTTCTTTGTGTGTGCAAAATCCTCATCTTGGTTCTGAGCCTTTGGGCTGTGGGCTCACAGTGAGGGAAATACCAAGAGGACACTGCAGGTGGATGAAATAAAAATCCTGATTTTCCTTTTGGCTCTTGCTGTATCACTGACCTTTGAGGGATGCTCACATGGTGTGAGCTGGAGC